GAAACACTTCTTCAAATTATATTTTAAATTATCCCTAGGCCTATTGTCGCTTGCCCACTTCAGTCATTAGGCCTAATGTGCATTTTTTTTCTTTTTTCAAATGAAATTATAGCTAAATGGTTTGCATTGATTAATTTTAAATCTAGATTAAATCAAGGTTTATCTAATAATTCTGTTGCACCAAACTTTAAACCTTTAAAAATAAGCAGGTTTACATTTTAACCCATCATTTTGATCCTGGATTTAAGTTAGGCTATAGCCTATTTAGGATTAACTTTAATCCAGTTGCACCATAAATGTAAACTCAGATTTAAATCTCGATTATGGATTAACTTTAAACTTAATGGAGGTTTAAATAAAACAAAATGCACATGAAATTAAAATATGTAACTGATTGAACAAAAACAGTGGAGATCTGACAAAAAAAAAGTCTCGGAGAGGTGTTTATTACTAATATAAATATGAAAATTAAAGCGCATCGAGTTGGCAGAGTGCGAGGGTCGTGACGGGATGCGGATCCATCACTCATGTTGCACCTCGGTGTCGGACAAACAGATGAAGTGAGGAATATGTTTAGCGTTTAACAGCAGCGGTCACGGTGATGATGAGGCGAGCACCAGTGAAGTGATCTCGTTTCTCATGCCCGCTCCGTGTGTCTGCTGGGCGGCGCTTTTCACGAGCGGAGATAGCTATATACGAATCGTTCATGGTGCACCTCGGTGTCGGACAAACAGAAGAAGTGAGGAATATTTAACAGCAGCGGTCACAGTGATGATGAGGCGAGCACCAGTGAAGTGATCTCGTTTCTCATGCCCGCTCCGTGTGTCTGCTGGGCGGCGATCAAACGGGCAGGGCAGCGCTTTTCACGAGCGGAGATCGCTATATACGAATCGTGTCTTTTTTTTTTTTTCTTATCTCGGTTCCTTTGTCGTAAGTTATGCTATTACTCCATTAATTTATACTAGCATATACTGTATATCCAGCGCTCCTTGAACGCAGTCTCTGGCTTTTTGCCAGTCAAGCGCAAGCACGCAGGGACGCGTCTAGAGTAATAACGACTCTGATCTGATCATAAAGTCTTTCCGAGTCACAGGGCTCAAGTCCAAGTCAAGTCTCGAGTCATTGCTGTCAAAGTCTAAATCGAGTCTCAAGTCTTCTTTAATTATGTCGAGTCGAGTCGCAAGTCATCAAATTTGGGACTCGAGTCCGAGTCAAGTCTCCAGTCGTGACTCGAGTCCACACCCCTGCTATATTGTGTATAATGTAAATAAAAATAAAACCTTAAAGTATACAAGGGAATTTAGGCATTAAGACATAATAATGTACACAATGAAAAACAGACATTCATTTCACATTCATTTTTAACAGTGTTAAATAATTTCTAAGTTAATTTGAGTGTTAAAATAGAGAAAGTGGTCATGTGCAAATAAATATTCAGTATTGGTGATGCATATACAATATTTAAAAAGTAAAAATTCATAAATTAAAAAATCTGTAATATCTGCCAATAATGTACAGATATATTATTAATTTGTAGGAAAGCACCAATAACTTAACAGAACTGAATTATTATAATTGAATTCTTACATATTTGCACTGACGTCAGTCTTCTCATTTCCCATGCAATTTGAAAAATGCACACTGTTAGTGCTATTGTTCATTTTATTCACACACTGCAGAACCTATTAATTACACAATGGCCTAATATATACTTTTTCTTTAAAAAGGGAATTGAATGTGACCGTTGAATTGTGAGATTAATTCAACCATCTCCGCTTTGCAGTTTGTACTGGCCCAGCAGTCACCTCTCTCTATCATCCAAAGAGCAAGAGAACGCGAGGCTGCTTGGAGGAAAGAAAGACATGCGGTGACAATTCCTCCTGTGAAAGATGACAGAAAAGAATCGAGTGACACAGGTTCTGTGCCCATTGAAGGTATTGCAGTGGTTTCCCAGTCTTCAGAGCCAACAGAAAATGGGCTTCATGCTGAACCCTCAAACACAGAACAAACCCAAAATGGAGGGAAAATACTGACAATCGACCCCAACCATTCAACTACTGCCCGTGTGGAAGGAGGAGGAGAGGAACCAAGTAAACACGGGACTCCTGCTGAGGAAGAACCAAAGTTCCCTTGCTCTATTTGTAAAAAAAGATTCCCCTCACAGGTCCGTCTGTTGCGTCATCACCGAACGACTCATACCACCGAACGGCGTTTTAAATGCAACATCTGCGGGAAACCGTTCAAGAAGCAGATCCATCTGCGAAACCACCTGCGCACGCACACGGGCGAGCGGCCGTTCCAGTGCAGCGTGTGTGGAAAGACCTTTTCCTCTCTTGCAAATCTTTCCCGTCATGGACTCACACACACAGGAGTCCGTCCGTACCGGTGTGACATTTGCCACAAAGCCTTCAGCCAATCGTCAAATCTTCGTCAACACCGTCAGCATCTTCACAGCAATGTGACGCCCTCACCCTGTCCAGACTGCTCCGCTACCTTTATCCGTCCTGCTAAACTTGTAGCTCATCGTTTTCTTCACCACCCAGGGTCACCAGCACCTTACCCCTGCCCGCACTGTTCCGAGGGGTTCTTGCGCAAGCGTCAACGAGACCTTCATTGCCTGGAGGAGCATCCCAACTTGACTCAGCTACACAGTATCTCCCAGGACTCCCAGGTTAGCAGTCAACAGGGCTCGATGGATAATACAGAGCAACTAAGCGCTCCTTCGATGACGAAACCTAATCTGGATTGCACTATTTGTGGCAAGCGGTTAAATTCTCCTGCAAATCTCCGCCTGCACCAGCTAAGTCACGGACTTGGGCCCGGCCGGCCTCGAGGCTCAAGCTCCGCCACTGGCAAGTCTCATCCCTGTCCGGTGTGTGGAAAACTCTTTGGTTCAGCCTCAAGCGTTACACTACACCAGAGAGTACACACCGGTGAGCGTCCGTATCCTTGCGTGATCTGCGGAAAACGGTTTCGCCAGAACACACACCTGCGGGAGCACCTTCGCACGCATTCGGGCGAGCGTCCGTTCCGGTGCGAGTTCTGCGATAAGGGCTTCGTGCAGAGCATGCATCTGGCGGAACACCGGCGTACACACACGGGTGAGCGGCCGCATGCTTGCGGTGAATGTGGAAAGACCTTCAAGACGGTCTCGAACCTTAGGAACCATCGGAAGACCCACAATCGCACCCAAAAGCAACAAGAGCCAGAACATAGCGCAGAAGCAGTGGCTGCAGAATCTCAAACAGCAACTGTTGCTGTTGTGGAAGCTTCTGAGATGGACCTGGTACCAGCCTTCTGCCAACAAGAGGTGCAGCTTGGACAACCCCAAGTCATTCAGATACAAACATCCAACCTGACACAGGTAGGAAACGGTTACTTTTATGTGTTAGAACTGGGAATCGATTTCCAAAAAACAGATTTGCAAGGCATTTGGAATTGAAAATCTATCGCAAAGGTCGGAAAAATGCGAATTGGCTCCTCTTTAATAGTCTTTTTCAGTTCAATACAGCTAATGATTAATACGCCTCTCGGTCGCTCACTGTAGTGATGGATGGTCAGTTTCAACTAATCAACTCAAAAAATGTTTGCAGCTGATCTTTTACGTTGTACGTATTATTAACAACTCAGTATCATGGTATGTCGTGCAGAAACATTCAAATAAAGCCATATGTATGAACACATATTGCTGATTAAGATAACTTTCATTCACTTAAGTTCCTGCATGTCGAATAGCATACAACTTACAAATATGATTAGATTGTCTTCAACATGTCTCCTAAATTAAAGTTTTGCTCCTAAAACGTTTTAGGTGTCTAAAATACATAGAATGAACTAATCTTGTAAACTCAAGAGTGAAACTGGCTTGTTCGGTAGTCCACAATGGAAAGATTTGAGGGGTGCTCCGAACTACATGGAAAGATAATAGATGATGCTGGTAATATTATATACTAAGAAAGTTTAAAAGGAGGTAAGCCTTCATATCATATATCCAAGCAATATTAGGTGAACATGTTCCTCCAATCTTAAAAAAAGAAAAGAAAACAAAAGCGAGGAGTCGATTCCTTAGTAAGTTCTAGAACCATGAATCAGAATCAATGCCGAAATATTTGGAAACCGCCCTACTGTGTGTGTGTTTGCTATAGTTTTGCATGTGCACAAAATAATGGTTTATATTTTCTCAATGTTTCAGACTCAGGGAACTCCCACTATCATGTTTAACGAGCTTGGAGAGACTATAGCCATCATTGAGACGAGCGGAGACCTGGCAGAGGCCATCGAGCTGTACCACACAGCACTGGAGAGTGGCATCAACATGGAGGCCATCACTGTGGACAACCTGCAGTTAATGTGAGAGAAGTGAAGAACAGTGCAGCACTCCAGTGGCCATCATCTTCGTGATTTGAAGATTGTGATTAAAAGAAGAGCATAAGTGGGTCAGAACAAGTGCAGAGAGAAAAAAATAGGGAAAGCAGAGATTGAGGAAGTGTTCCATATTCAAGACATTGTAGTCATTTCCATTGAATGTGTGAACAAGCGTACCTCAAATAGCCACTCTAGTCCATCCTTTCAGATATTTTTCAGCCTTATTTTCAATTTTTAAAGACATTTTTGCAAAATAATTTCAGCTAACTATCTTAAAAGAGGGCTGATATTAGAGGTGCAACTGAAAGGCTCAAATCTGTGATAGGATGTCTCCTGTTTTGGGACAAGAAATGGCCAGTCTGTCTTACTGATGACACACTGCATGACACTCTCGTTCTGACATTTGGACAGCCAGATGGAGGGTATGAAGGCACAGATGTCACCCGTGGACAGTAGAGCAGGTTGATAACACAGGATGGTGTGTAATGATTCCCGGTTAACATTCTGACCTGCAGTTCTTGGGAGGAGGTAGTTTAAGGGCACTCACCTGAAGAACAAAACAACAGGGCAGAGGAAGTTCAAAACGAGTGCTAATCATGGACAGATATTATGCACCATCACTACAATGGACAATGAATTCACATGTATTTCCATCTCTCGATCTGTACACTGAATGTTTGTAGCATTTTTAATGTTATGATGCTGATTTGGAGAAGTGTTGCAAATAAACAGTTTGTCTCCCTTGTGTAATTTCTTTGAGGAAGTGGTGTTACAACAGCAATACCCAGCGATCATGATCTCACCTTAAAGGGATAGGTCAGGGGTAGGCAAGTTCGGTCCTAGAGAGCCGCAGTCCTGCAGAGTTCAGCTCCAACCCTGAAAAAAAAAACACCTGCCTATAGCCTTAATAATCCTGAAGACACTGATTAGCTTGTTCAGGTGTGTTTGATCAGGGTTGGAGCTGAACTCTGCAGGACTGCGGCTCTCTAGGACCGAACTTGCCTACCCCTGGGATAGGTCATTCTGTCATCATTTATTCACCACCTCATGTTGTTTTAAACCTGTACGACTTTCTTCTGCAGAACAAAGAAGATATTTGTAATGTTTCAATGTTCTTAGTAGATGCAATCCAAGTCAAAGAGGGCCAAAGCAACACTGGACCCCACTGACTTTCATTGTTTGGACAAAACCACACTGAGATATTTTTGAAAATAACATTTTTGTGATCCAGAGAAGAAAAAAAGTCACAGGTTTGAAACTATTTAAGCAAATGATCATAGAATGTTCTTCTTGAGTCAATGAAAGTAAATCTTTAAATTTGTTCTGATGTTACATGGAATTCATTTGTTTCTCCATACTGCAATTGGCTAGAATGTAGAAATGTGATAAAAAACTAACCACAATATAATGTTACTAATACTTGCGTATTTAAACACCCAATCATTCCGTTATTCTTATTGGTCACATCTTATAACTTTATGTACCATTCAGGCATACTCCAACTCAAAACTTCCCGCACAAAAATAGATCACAGTGAAGTTTTAAACAGTTGCGCTCCGATTTTTTTTTTTTGTAATGCACATCTATGACGTCACCCAATCAATGTCCAATGAAGAGTTATTTCCTCAATCTTTTTACTTATAACGAAGAGTCTGTTTCATTGAACATCTATTTATTTGTTTACTGAGAGATACAGTTAAAATTTAAAGCTTATCGGTGTAAAGTCTTTCTTGGGTACGTAAATCAGCAAAACAAGGTAACGCAATAAGAACAGTTTATAACCATATTTCTTTATTCCCCCTTTTGTTATACAATTTCTTGTTACTGGCTTTGTTTCTTCCAACAATGTTTTTGTTGATGCTTTTTATTGTGATGCTTGAGTCTTTGGACTCTTACTGTATTTATGTACAACAAAGACCAGTGCTGCAAGAGAAGATCATCTGTGGCCTCCCAGTCCCACCTCGTAGCCTTAAAGTGATTGAGAAAAAAACGATAAAGTGACAGGAGGAGGAATGTAAGTGGCAAATCGAAATAATAAAAAACATGTACAACTACCAGAAAGATGTTTGGAGTGTCTTAACAATAAAGGCTTACGTAATTGCTTCCTGGTAAGAAATAAAACATTGTGAATATCAAGATAAATAGTGTAAGAGAAAAAGTTTTAAAAAAAGGTAGTGGAAGTGCCTCTGGGAGCAAGGGAAGAGGGCGTACTCGTCCCTCCGTTTCTGCTAAAGAAAGAGTATATGAATAAGAATACAGTATATATATAGGTTATAAGGATCAGATCCACAAGAACAACAAAGCATTAATAAGAACAGTAATAATGAGATTTTATAACATAATGACCTGTATCATTACGTGTTGAAAAATCAAGTTTCTCCTCTAAAAAGTTAATAAAATTCTTATAGTAAATTCTTAAGAATATATTCCCAACATTCTCTTTGCTCCGTGCTTCACCAGCTCATGAAAAGTTGAATAAAAAAGGCAGGGAAAGAAATGCTTAAATATGTGGAATTTCTTAATATATGGAAAAACATAAATCAATGGCAATGATGTGCCTGTTGACTTCCCTTCCATGACCTTTTTCCTTCATGGCTAGCCAATCAGATGCTTTGGAATGACTCCAGTTTGATTTGACAACCACTAAAGCCAATCATAGGACGAAAAGTTTACGAATGGCAGCGCAAAGTCTCTCGCAGAAGGTTTTCAGTGCCTTAACAAAGCTCTCTGTGAAAAGTCTTCAAAAATTAAAACACCACAGAAGAAAAAAAAATCAAAAATAAAAGTCCAACAAGTCTTCATTATCACTTAAACTCAGCCAGTGGAGGCCCGCCTCACAATGACTGACAGTAACCCACAAACCAATAAAAAAACACCTGTGGCCAAGCTACTGCCAATCAGGCCGTACGAACACAACTCAGTCTGAAAAGGGATGGGGTGCCCTCGCACGTCCCGCCTTTCTAGAGGCATCAGCAGCACTGTGACTTCACTGGCGTACAGGACAGGCCCACAGTCCTCTAGTTTCAAAGTCCAAAGGAAGCCTAATGACTAAGATAATGCTGTAAATTCAAGAGTGTATATTCAAGAGTGTCTGTGTTTATGTAGGCAAGTGTCTGAATGTAAAGTTTTCATAATTCAACATCACGTAAAATACTGAGAAGTTTCAAAACCCCAAAGTGTTTTGAGGCATCTCCCCTCATCTGCTCCATATACATACAAATTTTGCTCTTGCTTTTTCTCTCTATGTCCTTCGGAGGCAGTCATAGCAGAGACAAGACAACAAATGTAGATCATGCAGATGTTGAGGGGAGACATCTGGTCTTCAAGCCATCCATTTTCCCATCAACCTCATCTGCTGGTGTCCTGTGAATCGCCAGCATTTCTGGGCTCCTCCGAGCTGTTCTGCTCACCCTCCCGCTCGGCCTCTTTTTCCTGAGGCTCTGCCCCTATAGCTAGGTCACTGGCCGCCGCCGCCGCCCCAGAAGGTCCTGGTAATGAGGAAACATCAAAAATGCCTGCCGATTCCGACGGAGCTGCCGTTTGCATGATCTTTTGCCGGACCTCACGGATCTTGAGCTGTAAACACACCTTAGTGGGGAAGATATCAGCGTATCGTGCCTGGAATGCTGCAGTAGCTTGAGCTATTGATCGAGAGAGGGGCGAAAGGGGGAGAGAAAGAGAGTATTAGACGAAAGAAAATTCTGAAAGTGTTTTTATCTAATGCAGGGGTTTTTGGCCTTTATAATCTCAGATGTTCCTCTCAGCCAATTTAAAGGGATAGTTCACCCAAAAATGAAAATTCTGTCATTAATTACTCACCCTGAAGTCGTTTCAAACCCGTAAGACCTTCGTTCATCTTCGGAACACAAATTAAGATATTTTTGATGCATTCTGAGAGCTCTCTGACCCTCCCATAGACAGCAAGGATCCTTACATGATCAAGGCTTAGAAACGTAGCAAGGTGATCGTTAAAATAATCCATGTGACATCAGTGGTTCAACCGTAATTTTACGAAGCTATGAGAATACTTTTTGTGTGCAAAGAAAACAAAAATAACGACTTTATTCAACAATTCGTCTCCTCCGCGTCACCCTATAGTGCCATTTTGGAGAGTATCACATATGTAAACAACGTATGCTGTTCTGTGTCAGCAGCATTGTACGTGGATACGCTGTTTACATCGTTTACAGTTTGATCTGAACGTAAATAATGTATACGCGCACATATGTTGCATACATTGTTTACGTATGTGATACTCTCCAAAATGGCGCTAGGGTGACGCGGAGGAGACGAATTGTTGAATAAAGTAATTATTTTTGTTTTCTTTGCGCACAAAAATGATTCTCGTAGCTTCGTAAAATTACGGTTGAACCACTGATGTCACATGGATTATTTTAACGATCTCCTTGCTACTATTCTGAGCCTTGATCATGTAAGGATCCTTGCTGTCTATGGGAGGGTCAGAGAGCTTTCAGAATGCATCAAAAATATCTTGATTTGTGTTCCGAAGAAGAACGAAGGTCTTACAGGTTTGGAACCACATGTGAGTAATTAATGACAGAATTTTCATTTTTGGGTGAACTATCCCTTTAAGGACCAGCAACATAAAAATCAGAACAAGATTCTCTTAACAAGTTCTGACTTCAATTTTGTTCTCTTTCTCACACAAAGCCACTGCAAGGCTTCAGAAGTGTAAATGTTTTACGATGTATTGATGGTCCTTTTTGAAGCTTCAGTCAAATTTTTTTTTGTAACTGCATGAAAAAGCGTGACCAGAATTTCTCAATTTTTGTTCAATAAACATGCTAGGAATGACGTGATAGTGAAAAAATGTGATGTTTATATTTAATTCCTTTAATATTGCGAACTATGCATTAGGGCTGGATGATATGGCCAAAAATACAATCACAATATAAATTTACTATAAATGTGGACATGCTTTCCACGTGTGTTAGACCATGAGAATGAATAGAAACTTGTTTTTTTCACAATTAAACTCCCAAGAAAACCATTTTATTTTCCCATAAATTCTGTTAAATTTCGTTTTATGATTTATTATAATTTATCAATCAAAAATGGTGTCTAATAAAATGTAACAACAATTGAATGAACAACAAAACATTTAAATTAAATTCATAAATTAAAACATGGACTAAAAATATCTTGGATGTATGATATTCCTTACAAATAATTATAATATTATTATTATTTAGTAATTTATTAGTAATACATAGTAATATATTAGAAATATAGCAATATAAGATAAACTAAACTTATTTCGTCAGTTTGTCGTGAAGATCTTTGAGTGTCAGTGTGTATTTAGGGCCTTTCGCACCGCGGGAACCTTTTCATAGTACCAGAAGGGCTTCCAATAGAGTTTTACAGAACATTTAAAAGACAGCTTTTAAGACCATTACTTGACATGTATGAGGAATCATTTATTACTGGAAAGCTCCCAGATTCATTAAGACTAGCTATAATAACTTTAATATTAAAACCAAATAAGCCTCCAACTGAATGCTCGTCATACAGACCTATTAGTTTAATGGGATGTGATACAAAAATACTTTGTAAAGCACTTGCTAGAAGATTAGACAAATATCTTCCCCAATTAATTATTGATGATCAACAAGGCTTTGTACAAAAAAGACAAGGTTATCATAACATCAGAAGGGTCTTGAATATATTACATGAGAGACATAATGAAAAAGACACCGTAATGCTATCAGTAGATGCGTGCCAAGCATTCGATAGGATAGAATGGGACTATCTCTTTGATGTTCTTTCAAGATTTGGATTAGGCAAAAC